AACGAGAATATTTCCCAAACCGGTTGGTTTCTCAACAAGCTGTGTAAGGTTCAGAGTAAGACACATGTCTAGAAAATGTGCGGATGTGGCCGAGCCTACGGATGATAGGTTTGACCAATCGATTCTCGACTCACTAGTCTCTAATATAATACCTCTTTGTACGCTGTATGTAAAAGGCTGTATATAGTTTCTCCTCACTTTTAGTGTGTGAGCGATTGCTCCTGTTGTGAGTGACCTCATCTGAATAAATATGTACGAAAGATGTGTATTAGTTTCATGAGACTGGAACACAGAGTCACTTCTTGTATAGGGCACTGCTAAGTGTAGGCTTTGAAAAAGGCCTCTACTTTGGGGAGTTGTTTTCAAATTCAAATTCGTTTATTTCGCCGCAAACAGTACATTTGTGACAGGGGAGCGCAAAAAAAAAGCTGCAGGCCTGCAGCTTGACGAGTCCCAGCGCCCCAAAGCAAGGTAAGAGCGGCACTGGCACATACAGACAAAAAAGAACGAATATGCGCACACATACATTTGCATAACCTATATTTCTTTCCCAATAAAATAATGCAACATGTTTCTAATAGAAACGAATGCCGAAATAAAGTATGACAGGGTACCCAAATTTAAGAAAAATCGAAGGTGGTGTTTTTTTATTTGCATCGGAAGTTTTCGTTGTTTGATTTTTTCCCCCTTTTGTTTGCCTAAATATATCCCAACTATCGTATCACTCTGATACCTAATTTATTTTAAAAAAAATAGCCATAATCAAGTAGAATACTACCTGCAACTTATATAATAATGATCAAAATATTTCACGAGATACAGGCCTCCAAATTTTGCCATTTGTCGTTCGAGCAGGCATGTTTGGCACTCTTTAGAAAAATAAATAAAATTTAAATAAATACCATTACTTTATATTACAAACAAACTGTACCCCCAGTTCGGTTTTGAAAAGTATTAGAATTCTTTTAAGTTTATCCTTTTAGTTATTCAGTTTCAAACGTGCTCCCCCCCCCCCCCAATCAGTGCGCATTAATACAACTGTCCCCAAATTCTATTCACCTCAAAGATAAGCGTGCATTCGATAATATCATACACTAGACAATTGCGTATAAAAACATCAGCTGATTTAAAAATGTCGACCAGCCACCCTTTGGTCCATCTTATCTGAAATCACCCTATATACTTCCTTCGCTGTCCAGTTGCAGATTGATCTGTGACATCTCCTGTGCTTCTCTTTTTTGACAAAAATAGCACATCGCGATACTTCAGTTTTATATAGCATAATGTTTTATGTTTGACAAAAATAGCACATCGCGCTATTTCAATTTCAGATGGCGTAATGTCTTATTTTGACCTAAAATAGCACATCCCGCTACTTCAATTTCAGATAGCGTAATGTCTTATTTTGGCCAAAATTAGCGCATCGCACTATTTAAATTTTATATAACGTAATGTTTTATTTGGACCAATAATAGCACATCACGCTACTTAAATTTTAGATAGCGTAGTGTCTTATTTTGACCGAAAATAGCACATCCCGCTACTTCAATTTTTATAGCATAATGCCTTATTTTAACCAAAAATAGCACATCGCGCTACTTCAATTTCAGAAAGCGTAATGTCTTATTTTGGCCAAAATTAGCACATCGCACAATTTCAATTTTATATAGTGTAATGTCTTATTTCCACCAAAAATAGCACATCGCGATACTGCAATTTAATATAGCGTAATGTTTTATTTTGACAAAAATAGCACATCGTGATACTTCAGTTTTATATAGCATAATGTCTTATTTTTACAAAAAATAGCACATCGCGCTATTTCAATTTCAGATGGCGTAATGTCTTATTTTGACCAAAAATAGCACATCCCGCTCCTTCAGTTTTATATAGCGTAATGTCTTATTTTGACCAAAAATAGCACATCGCGCAGCTTCAATTTCAAAGAGCGTAATGTGTTATTTTGACCAAAAATAGCACATCTCACTAATTCAATATCAGATAGCGTAATGTCTTATTTTGACGAAAATAGCACATCGCACTATTTCAATTTTATAAAGCGTAAGGTCTTATTTTGACCAAATATAGCACCTCGCGCTACCTAAATTTTAGATAGCGTAATGTCTTATTTTGACCAAAAATAGCACATCACGCTACTTAAGTTTTAGGTAGCATAATGTCCTATTTTGACCAAAAATAGCACATCGCGCTTCTTTAATTCCAGATTGCATAATGTCTTATTTTGACCAAAAATAGCACATCGCTACTTTAATTTTAGATAGCGTAATGTCTTATTTTGACCAAAAAGAGCACATTGCACTACTTCAATTTCAGATAACATAATGTCTTATTTTGACCAAAGTTATCACATTGTGCTATTTCAATTTTATATTGCATAATGTATTATTTTTACAAAAAATTAGCACATCGCGATACTTCAACCTTATATAGCGTAATGTCTTATTTTGACCAAAAATAACACATCCCGCTTCTTCAATTTTACATAGCGTAATGAACTATTTTGACCAAAAATAGCACATCGCGCTACTGCAATTTCAAATAGCGTAATGTCTTATTTTGACCGAGAATAGCACATCGCGCTATTTCAATTTGAAATAGCGTAATGTCTTATTTTGCCCATAAATAGCACATCGCGCTATTTCAATTTCAGATAACGTAATGTCTTATTTTGACCAAAATAGCACATCACGCTACTTCGATTTGAGATAGCATAATGTCTTATTTTGACAAAAAATAACACATCGCGCTATTCAATTTCATATCGCGTAATGTCTTATTTTCACCAAAAATAGCACATCCCACTACTTTAATTTTATATAACATAATGTCTAATCTTGAGGGCTGTGTGTAATGAGCGATAGGAACCTTTATCAGTTGCACGTGTTTAGGCGATTAGGATCGAGTTTGACGATGATTCGTGTTTCATTACATCAGTTGGAATTTGGCGCCTGTTCGTGTCGTACGTGTGTCTTTTTTCGTCCTGTTTTGTTCGCGCCATTTATCCTTTTAATTATGGCTATCGTCTTTGACGAGATTATCCAGAAGAGCGGGGATGCCAGCCACATCCTTACGTTGGGATTTTTTGTACTTCCAGAGCCCTTACAGACAGCCCTTAATCAAGAAAAAGCTATTACGATTCGGCATTTATTTACATCTCTCCGAAGATCATTAAGCAGGTTTGGGATCAGTGAATCGTGATGTTTCAATATCGTGCGAAAACAGGTTTATTCGTATTTATTGACCGCCCGATTTCCGAATTCATCCAGGGCTTATTTTGCTTACGCTTCGCGCTTACTATCTTGATGGGAACATGAATAGCTACCAAATTCAGTATATTATGTTGAACGATATCACGCGAAGTATTCACATTACTGGACACGCATTTCACTTCAAAATCAGACCGAAAAATTTATGATTTCAAACCTCGTACTCTCGTATTCCCCTTTGTAGAACATATGTCTTTTTTATTTAAGTCATTTAGGTTCTAGCCACCCAATCAGACGGTTGATCGTGTGAACGGCAGGACGTCCATGAAATGTAATTGCATTCTGAGACCGTCCACAGAACCATATGACCTCTCAGGGCACGAAGGAACGGGCGAAGAGAGGCTGAAAAAGAGGTGCCTGTGCAGTGGAAGGCGCGCGTGCAGTGATTGTTCAGGAAGGGTCCTGAAGAGGGTCATTGGATGCATCAGTCGCCGTCAGAGCTTCCTCCCCTGCGAAAGTCGTAATTGGCGAAGATTCGGCCGTTCCATCTCTTGATGCCCCCGAGGAAGCTGAGCGGCCCGCTGGAGACAACCACCTTGTGTCCCTTTTGCTCGAGGTACTTTATAGTTACCTGTGAGGTACCAAAAAAAAAAAAAATAAAGTTCATATGCACAATTTTGTAGCATAGTTGAACACAGTGCAATGTTATGTTGCGTAGAGACAAGAAACTTGAAAAAGAAGAGAGCAGTTTCTCTCGGTATGGCGGTCGGAAAACGGTATAAGGGAGGTGTCGTTGTATATTCGTGTCTTTGTACTTTCTCACTTGATTTCGACGACCTGGGCGCAGACGTCGCTACTTGCCGATTGGGCCAAACATGAAGCACCAAACGTGAAGCAGCGAGACTTTTGTTCCTCAAAAAAAAAAAAAACAGTTTCGAATTAAGCGAGTTTAATTCACGCTTTAAAATACCAATTCAATCCTACCTGTTCGCGTTGTTGCATGTGCTCGTCATGTTTGGTAGGGCTGCATGTGTTGGAATGCATAGGATTCCTGGATTCCTATTGCGGGGCCGTTTGAGCGTACCACGTTTACGCGGTGTTTTTCATGACGTTCTCTAAAGGGGCTCATTCTCGCGAAGACGTGATATTTTCCAATTTAACAATTTTAAATATAACGCAAAAATTTGCTGACACGAAGATATCTCTTTGCAAGCAAGGAACGCGTAGCTTATCACTCCAAGTCGCAAAACATAGTGCCCGCGAAAATTAAACCGTTTCGAGCATTAACCGAGAGCGCTGCTGGGCAGAGATACTAAAAGCCTATTCCAGATTAAAAAAAAAAATATATATACAGGTATTTAAGGCCGAAATAAAGTTGCCGGGATACATTTGTCTCGGGTGTAACCGGATATCCCTGAATCACTTCTGCAAGAACGGGAAAAATATCGCGGATTATAGAGACTGATACATAAAGAAATATATTGTTCAAGGAAAGGACATATAGAGCTACATTTCAGGCGATCGACACATATATACCGTATGCCATAGTGACAACGGTAAGCTAGAACCTATGATTTTGAAGTGCACGGGGCTTCAACCCGCCCACCCTGAAGATGTTACGTTTTTGGCAGTACCACTAGGTTTTGCTTGCGAAGGTTCGAGGACGGAGGAATGAAGGATTATATTAGGAGAAAAACGTAGGTTAAAATATTGATAGACAAAATGCAGAAAATTGACGGGCGAGGTAATGTAACGCCACTAATATATAGCAAAATTTAAATTGGAAATTCTAAATGTTTCTAGACTAGGTAGCGCAAGCAATAACGCCCGATACAAAAGAAACAATCCATAACATCCATCCATTTATCTTTCCCACGATAGAGAATATACGCTCGCTTGTGGTTGCCTTGTGGTTGTATAGGCTTTGGCTGTTTTTGGGCACGCAAAATAAACAAACAAACAAACAAACAATGCCTCACCAAAAAAAAGTCGTCTTTACAACACGTCTCGCTAGAGAACATCGTTTGGCTAGGGACAGAGAAACGAGGTGGGCTCCTTTTGTCATAACCAAAGGCTACGGGACGTAACGAGGTTCAACTTCATTAACTCGGCGAAATTTGATCTTTATAGAGAAGCTTCGACGATAAAGCACCTGAAAAATAAGCACCGATTTCCTAACGGTCATTTCTCGCAAGCTTGGCGCTTGGCCAGAGCGTTTCGCGAACCCTTGGTTTCAACGACTCTCCGGTGTGCTTCGTAGCCACCCATCAGCTTAGTTAACTTCGGTGAAGCTGCGGGTTCTCTTTCTATAAGGAAGTCTTGGCACTTGCGACATCCGTGGAGTCTTCATAGAGTGGCCGCCAATGTACGTTAAGCTCGAAAATCGTTTTTGATTTAAGGACTGATATTCGAAGTAGCAACGGTATTTCTATACACCCACCTCAGAAAAATTCTGTTCGACGTCAACTTCGTTAGGGAGCCATTGGTGGTGTATCCTTGGGGAGTCGATGGCGTCTTTGATGGTACGATCCTGCCACAGGCACCGCATGCTTGCCTATTTAAAGAGACGTGGAAATCCTTGCAGTTAATTACGGTCTTTATCGGTAACTGCGCAAGGAGACCACCTGACCATATTTAAAATTACCAGTCTCGTGGTGAATGCAGAAAAAAAACACGATATAAATACCGCCTACCATTAGCTCCTATGGGACTCCTAACCTATGAAACACCCGTTAATTTTTGAAAATGTCATTCGCATTAAACATGCTATCGTTTGTCTTACGAGAGTTGCAGGAAATGTAAAAGGCCATCTGTCAATCTACCTTCTCCAGCACTCACAATATATCTAAAAAAAATTGACGAAGGCATTTATTTGGATTTCAAGCGTATTAATATGCTTAGACTCTGTAAAGGAACAGTATACTCCAACAGCAAGGGACCTATGCAATTTGACTCGTTTGATGCTTTAACTTTTGTCTATGAGCTTAAATACTTAGAGGTGTTTGCTAATAAAAGGCCGAACTGGAGATTTTTCAGCTGAAATGTCCTCTTTGAAAAACTTGTATGTATATCTCGTCGATACCGGATCGCAGTTGAGCTCGTGATACGTCTGAGGGTGCGCATAAACAAATGCATTGAAATTCGAAGAGGTGGTGCAAGTCGTATCAGCGATTCAGCATTCGCCGCAATGAATAAAGTAGGACTTTGTGCATTGCCTTGTGGTCCCCGTGTCTTCGCTGACGTTTATTTCTCTTCCCCCTACTTGTGACTATAAATATTTTTTGCTGGTACAAAAAGTTTCTGATGCAGCGTACAGTGCGACCTCGCACGTGCAGTAGAACGTGTGTCTGTTTTATAGAGTCAAAAGCAAAACGAATATCCAAGAACATCGCAATGGCTAAGTTCTGAGATTGGCGCTCGTGCTCGATGGTCCTAACAGGGTCAAGGGCCAACCCTATCATGCATTTCAGAGGAAGAAATCTAATATTTTGTTCTCGCAACATGCGATTTAATACAAAAAAAAACTGTGCAGACGTAATTTCACCATCACTTCCATTAGGTTCCCAACACAGCTAGTGAGACTTACGGACAAAATGATTATAGTACAGCTGATCTTTGACCACAGTTGAGTCCTTCATTCTTGGCTGACGCTCAAGAATGAAGGACGTGTGCGGCAGTTGTTCCGCTCCGATATCTGGGCAGCGATTCATTGTGTGCTTGGGCGCGTATAATCACAGCTTTCACTGCGAGTGTGTCGATACTCGTGAAGCTGATTACGACCGCCTCGTGAAAAAGGATGTTAGCGCGTTTAAATGCGATGCGTACACGAAGCGCCGATCCTCGGAGACACTACTGGATAGTCCGGAAACGTCATCTTCGGTTCAGGTTAGTGACGAGCTGTCGGGACTTGTGACGACGGAGGTGCACGGAAGTTGGTGCAGGAGCTCTGCAGCAAAATCGACGGTTTGTCCGAAGTGCGCGCGCTACGAACTGACAACGAATCTTTGCGAGTGAACCTCGCGAGGAACAGCGACCTTTTCCGCAAATGTCTGAACGCCGACGTCCAGGGTTCTGCACATCAGGTTGCTTCAGCACGTACCCGCTTCGAGATGCTTCAGCCGCTCCGACTGTCCTACATGCGGCCACAAGTTGGCCAACTGTTTCCGAAGCTTCTGAACACCCCCCGGAAAGAGGGTATCGCCAGGGTCTACCACCCACGCGAGTAGCATGGCCACTCCAAAACGGTGACCTGCGGCAACGTCAGCCTAGTGTGCGCCGTGGGTCGGCTGGTGCCAACGCAACCGGACTCCTGACAGCGAGCTCGGATCATCGAGAGGCAGCTGGCGCAGAGTGCTCCACGAGGGCGGCCAGTGCAGTCGTCGACGAGGACGACTTCCAACAAGTCCCCCCACGTCGACGTGTGAAGATCCCCGTGGGCTCCGACAAAACCAGTAAGTTGCGTGCCATGGCGAAGCAACCAAGAGAGGAGGCTCTCTTCATTTCACGATTATATTTTGAGACAACATGCGACGAACTTTCGGAAACAATGTCCTGTGCGCTAGGCAGTCAGCGCTTTACTTGCACGAAGCTGTCTTCTAGATTTAACAGCTACGCTTCTTTCCATGTCTCGGTAAACGAGGAAGACTTTGATAAGCTAGTGTGTCCTAATTTGTGGCCGGACGGTGGCCTTTTTCGGCCCTTTTTGGGACGGCTCAGGCTCGATGACAACGAAAGTGCTGGGAACACCGCAACTAGTCATAGCCCTGACCAGAGTCGCCCTTTAGACTAATGAATATTAATGCGAGGAGCGTCGTCAACAAACCGCAAGAGCTTAAAAGTGTGCTCCTGACTTACGACCCCGATATAACAAGAATTACTGAAGCTTGGTTGAACAAGGAAATATCTAATAGTGAAGTTTTCATAGATGGGTTTAATCTGTTTCGGCGAGATCGTGCCTCTAGGGGGGGAGGGGTCGCACTCCTCAAAAACAACAATTTTGAGTGTTCAGTTATCGAACAGAACTCTGATTGTGAAATGGTTTGGGTGTCCGTCCGTTGGAGTTGTCACTCAATGCTTATAGGGGCACCGTACAGGTGCCCGCAAGCTGGTATAGAAGTGCTCACAAAATTATCTGAATTTTTGTCAATCGACCTAATTAATTTTTCACATGTTATACTGGCTGGAGATATCAACTTGCCAGATATTGACTGGGACAACATGATTCCTATAGGAAGCTGTGCACACTCAAGCCTACTTGTAGATATTGCTTTTAGCAATAACTTAAACCAGGTAGTGAGATGCCCCACGCGCCTGTCTAGTGTACGTGCTTCATTGCTAGACCTTGGGTTTTTATCAGAGGCCATTGCCAGAAATAATAATATATCAAATGTAGAGGGCATATCTGACCATGCAATAGTTGTTTGTGATTTATCTCTCCGGCAAAATACGAGCGGCACTAAAGAGCTGAAACGGTTCCGGGATTTCCCTAGGGCAGATGATGTTGGCATCCTCGATATGTTGGAAGAGGCATTTGAAGAATTTTCTGAGATAAGCAATCAGAACGGTGTATGTGTTGATAAGTTATGGCTTTTTTTAAGAATGTTGTTTTATCGTGTATTGACAGATTTTTTCCGGAGCTTTCAAGAAATAAGAAGCAGAGTTCTTAGATTACACGAGATATTTTACACCCGAAACTTAAAATACACCGTATTGAAAGGTACCAACCAATTTTAAAAAGTACGCTTCCTTCCCTTCGCCAACAACTACGAGTACTTGTGCGCACATCTAGGTATTATTTTTACAACGTCAAAATGGCAAACTTGCTCAGGGAAAACCCCAGAAAATTTTACGCACATTTGAATAAAACAAATTTAGCTATCAATGAACTTGGCCACAACGGGAACACGCTCTCCGATGAACCGAGTATAGCAAGTAAAATGAATAGTTTTTTTCTACTGTTTATACCATGAATAATTCCATAATGCCACCATTTACTCATCACCATCGTAAAATTGGCGACTTAGTAGTGTCAGTAAGTGGTATTTTTGATAGCCTTCTCCGACTGGACGTTAAAAAGTGACGCGGCCCGGACCGGATTCCTAACGCATTCCTTCACAGGTATGCGGAATGGAGTGCGAGGTATCTTTATGAAATATACTTTTGCAGCTTAAAAACTGGCGAAGTTCCAAAAGACTGGAAAGTAGCGAAAGTTGTGCCAATTCATAAAAGTTGAGATATAAAGTGTGTTTCGAATTACAGACCTGTCTCACTGTTGAGCACATGTAACAAAGTTCTTGAACATTTTCTCTTTAAACACGTTGTAACTTTTTTAGAATCCGCAGAATTTTTGGTAAAAGACCACCATTGGTTCCGACGTGGTTACTCAACAGTTACTCAGCTGCTCCACACATTCCATGAATTTGCTGCTACAGTGGATAACGATGGCCAACTGGATTCTATCCTCTTAGATTTCGCGAAAGCTTTCGACAGGGTGTCGCATCGGAAACTACTGTTCGAACTTAAGCAGATACTCGATAACGATTACCTTTTACGTTGGGTTGATTCATTTCTTACGAACCGTCGACAGTACGTGACTGTTGGAAAAGCGGAGTCCCTGGATTTGCCAGTCATGTCAGGAGCACCCCAGGGCTCGGTGCTCGGTCCTTTTGTTTAGCGTTTACAAATAATCTGCGTGTAGATAAGCCCTTGATTCAGTGCCGTCTTTCGCCCACGACTGTGTTTTTTTGCCAAAGTGTCACGCACTTTCGATCAATTATGTTTGGACAGTAGCCTACAATCTGCGTTTTCTTGGTGTCAAACATGGCAGATGGATTTGAACGTAAAACAATGCGTGCAAATGACAGTAACACTAAGGAAGCCTCCAATTGTTTTGCTATTCTATCAACTCAGTACCGTTAGAAAATGTCACTTCTTATAAATATTTCTGCATTACCATCATATCTACTTTAAGCTGGTCTGTTCACTTAGAGAACATTATCGCAAAAGCGTCGCGTAAACTGTGGAGTCGTCGAAAAACTATGCGACATTGTACCCCGGAAACTAAGCTTGTTGCGTACACTACTTTGATTCGTCCATTATTGCAATACGCGGACATTTTATGGGACCCGTATTCACAGTCATTGATTGACAAACTTGAGGGAGTGCAAAAAAAAAGGCACTGCGATTTATGTATAATGCATACGGCATGCACACGTCTATGTCATCCCTTTATGCGTTATCCGGATTAACCCAGTTATTGACCCGCATAAAACTGAAGCGTCTGAATTTTTTTGTATAAATTAATACACGATAAGATTGGAATGAAGTTCGAAGACGATCTGGTGTACAATCTCAGTCGAGTCACACGGCAGAAGCATGACAATCTTCTTCGAGAGTTTCAATGTAGAAAATACATTTTTAACTACTCTTTCTTTCTGAGAACTGCCCAAGACTGGAATGGCCTGCCTCACAACATTACAGGCAGTGCCAACTTCAACTCGTTTGTCAGCGACTTAGATGAAGTTTTAAATCCATTTGACTAATTATTTGCCAAGT